TTTTCCCTTGGTCTCTGAGTGGTTCTCTGCATGTGGGTCAGATCGCTTAAACCAATCCTGACAGTTCTTACGTACACACATTTTTGTGTCTGGGGTGAATTTAATTGAGTTATTTTGGGAAGCAAAGAATATGTTCAGTAAATAGAAATAAAAAGAAAAAAATTATCTCGAAAATAAATTCTGAAGGTTATGAGAGTAACTTTGGAGTCAACAAAATGGGGGAATTGACTGTAGATTTGGAGGCAGCGGAAAAGTGTCATTACATGATGTTCACCTGGAAACGTGACCGTGAAGATGATGAAGATGATTCATATCTTCTTTAAATCTGTTGTTGAGCTTCTTTAATAATCTAAAAATCTCAACAACTTGATAATGAAGGCCGACTCTGTTCCAGGACACCTCTAGAATCTTTGGAGATTATTTTACAAAGAAGAATTCTTCATGAATCGAAGAAGATCATGGACAACAGTGAGAATCCTGTTCATCAGACTGTTAAAGAACAACAGTGTCTTCAGTCAGAGGCTTCTCCAGATGGCTGCTATACAGGCCGCTACAGAATAGCACTATAACTATAACAACTAGGAGATACTTCATGATTTAACTTTTGTTTGCGGTTAATAAAGTAATTTTTAATTTGATATAGCAGGAATTTTAACCCTCTATCCACATGGCCACACAGTTTGTCCTTTTTGATGCTGATCTGCTCGTGTTGGTTGTAAACAAACCCCCTGTGAGTCGCAAGCAGTGACCTTCTGACCCTTCTGACATCCAGGCTGACAGCTGCTACCAGACGGCGGCACTGTCTGGAGGTACGGCAGCACACGAGCTGCTCTGTGTGCACAGATGCTTTAATGAAACAAATAAAAACTAATACAATTTGTATTTTGGCATCTTTGTTCCTGTGAAAAATTTTTTTTCACAGATTTCTTTGTTTTTTGTTTTTTTTGTCTCCCCTTAATGTTTTATTATTTTTTTTTATTATTATTTAACCTTTATTTAACCAGGAAGTCCCATTGAGATTCAGAATCTCTTTTTCAAGAGAGACCTGGCCAAGGTAGCAGCCAAACCACAGGAAGTTCATACATATTTACAACATATTACATTTTTCATAATAAAATCAGAGCAGTATGTTAAAACACATTATAAGGACCCTAAAAACTTAGTAATTCTAATCTGATGTATCAAGTATATTACATCAATCCAAACCAACCTGGCTCTGTGTGCCCCTGGTTGTGTAATTCTTAGCAACAACTGTCAAGTATTTGTAATAATTTGGAATGAATCTTCACTTCACTGCAGATTAATTTTGACCTTCTATTTGATGCAGAATCACTTTAAATCTGTCCTACAGTACTGGAGGGTTGTCAAGCATAAGATCAGTCTCAGTAAAGTTTACTCAGAAATGTTTTAATTTCATTATTATTATTTGTTTTTTCCAACAAGTACATACTGTATACATACATTGCTTAAAAAAATGATGGGGACAAGTAAACAATGCAATATAACTTCAGTTAAATCAAACGTAGGAAGCAAAAATAATTGACAGTCAATTTCACATGCTGTGGTGCAAATGAAATAAGCAGTAGGTGGAAGTTATTGGCCCTGTGTTTTCTGGCTGATGTTTTGGTCACTTTTAAATGTTGTAGCATAAGACGGATTCTACAAGGAAAACCAAGTGACAGTCGGCTCCTTTTCTCCTCTGGGTCCAACGTATGTCTGCCTGCCTCTCCAACGAGTTCCCTCTTCTCTGGAT